GAGTATTACAATAGAACAATCTTTTGTATAATTAATACAGATTAAAAACAGCACAAAAATCGAACTCATTGATGTTAATATGTTTTAATTAAAAAAATCTTCAACTTAAATCGATGCAAAATATCAATCATTAATTGTGATACCAGTAATAGTAAGTGTAAGATCACTGGAAAGCACTGCAGATGATGGAATTATTCGAGAAAACTAAACAACACTACATTTTAATGATTGATTACTCTATCTACATCAACGATCATTATTGGAAATACAAGTTTTGTTGGCACATTCTAAGGAATATCATAAGGTGACATCATCTTTGTAAGTGTGATGCTTCATTCCAAACATTATCCGTTTGATGTCTAATATCTTATGTGTTTTGACTGATCTCACGAGGGTATCAGCGTTCGCAATAAGATATTGATTGAAATGAGATTGATGGCTTCTTAGGAGTACTCTCTAATAGTGCATAAAATTTTTTTTTGTCTTTGAATTCATTTTTTTGTGAAAAATAATTATCTCATTCATATTAATTTTAAATTCTCGCAAAAAAGGTAAAAAAATAATATTAGAACATGCCTAATAAAACATATGGTAATCAAACTATAATGATTGTTTAAGATAGTGAGAACTGTTATGCCTGGAAATATTCTATTATTCCTAAGCAAGACAAGTTAATATTATTTTTCTAAAGATATAATCGATAGAACTTTGAATAAGCTAAATATCCGTGCATTTCGATTTCGATTTCTTGTTCAAAAAAACTAAATAAATATTATTTTAGAAAGTTACAGAATAATCTTTGAATCGTTAAAAATGTTTTAAACGTAATACTACCCTACTAGGTAACAATGAAGTATTCTGTAAACAAAGTTTGTAGAAAAGAGTATACGTTAACTTTTAAAAACAATCTTTCCTTTTTAAAATGCTTTTACATTCAAATATAGAAGAAATAATATAATATAAAATTTTTGCCTTATTCATTAATATCGCTCGCATGATTAAATGATTATGATGTTGTGTATGTACAATCAGAAGTACTGTATTGGAATGTTGGTACCATTCTGTTGTAATCTCATCTTGAACAAATTATTTATAACTACTGTCTTAGGTTATCCATTCAGTCGTATACTGATTACCTTGTATCTAGAGCTGTAGTTTAATGAATATTAAAGAGAAGGATGATCATTGTTCTTCCATCGCTTCCCAGTGGTTGTCTTGTTAGTTTATTTCTCTAAAATTCTGCGATATAACACTGTTAAACAAAATGAAGAAAATTTCCAAGGTCTTGTTTTTTTTCTTTTTATTTGTCGGGTAGATCGTTATATTTGGACAGTACTTCAGAGTCAGTGAGATATTCGATAGAACAATCGATCATTGATAATGTATATGCGAGTACGTTTGAGTAATCATAACTTGTTAAATTCTTATCTATCATTATTCATTAAGTTATACCTCGATCAAATTGATCTTCACTACATTTGTTCGAATATTAATAATATGTATTGTAAGTAATACATAGTATTTATTTTGTTTAGATAGAGACAATTCTTATAGGAATTAAAAAGAAATTGATTGATGTTGAGTGTGATTCTTCATATGAGGAAATATCTTACATTCTTTGATGGTCTCTCTTTATGGTATTGACGAGAAAACAATGTAATGCTGAATGAGAATGGCAGTACATCATATATTGAAATTTTTCTCTTAATTCTTATTATTATTTCGACAGTATAAATTAGTATTTAAATTACAAATCCATAATATTTAATGGGCTATATTGGCGAAAAATGAAATTTTCTAAATGAACAAGCAATACTTTGAATAGATAATGTTTTTGTCTCAGAAATCTACGCTGATATTTGTTTGTAAAATTTAATTAATTAAAATTATCTGAAACAATTTTTATTGTTGTCAAATACATAAAGTTTTTATGATAGACTTTATTCTTTATTCATTCTAAGAAATGCTAGTATAATCTTATTCTAAAAGTTCTATAAATCAAACTTATTTGTAGCAATTTGAAACGGAAAATATTTACTTAACATAAAAGTGCAAAAACGAAAGCAAGAATGACTAAATCCAAGAAATACGCGTGATTTGTTTAAAGTTTTAAAGTCAAAACAAAAAAACAAAAGGTTTTTTTCATTTATTAATTGAAAGATAATTAATTATTATACACTAAGAAATAGTAATTGTTCTTATGAAGAACTTTTAAATACCGTATAAAACAATATATTAAGGTGGGATACGAATTCGAAGAAAGTTTAGAAGTTGAAATAGAGCTTTCAAATTAGAAACTTATTTGGATTTGTTATACAAATAATAGAAAATCTATTCACTCTCTATTCTGCATGAATAGAAAAAAAAATTGAAAAGAAAATATTTTATAAATGATGTCAATGGATTCCATCGAGAGAATATGATCAAGATCATACTGACAGTAACGAAAATGTCGAGTTCAGGATCGTCAAAAAAAAGAACTGTTACCAGTATATGAAAGATACTTAACCAAATACGCTGCTGAAAATTGCCTTATTATAGAGGTACTTGAAGGTATCTAATCAGATACTTTGGACATCCTGAATTAACAGTATTTCCATAGATTAGTCATTATACTAATAATAGAATATCGTAAATTCAGTATCTTCGCTAGATATGCACAACCAAATGATAGAGTATAATTCAAATCATTTTTTTTAACAACAAATGTTTTGAGATTAATAATGTTATTCGATTTCATTCATCATTAATATAACGATTTATCTTTATTGGTCCCCAATTATCAATTGTATTCGTTTTGAATATTGTAATTGATCTATATGAACTTGAAAGAATTATATTTGATCGTACAATTTTAATTCGAAGTTAATTTTGAAATCATTTATTGGAATCACATAGAAGAAACTCTTACTCAACGACGGCTTTTTGTTATTCTCGTTTAGCTAGTATATAAACTTGATCGATGTTAATATATCCTATAGTAATTTAACTAATTTTGATTTAACAATACATTTCAATAGAACAGAAGTAAATGAATTATTTTTTTAAATGATTCAATTCAATTCACGATATATTGTTCAAGATGATGGAATCAAACAACAAGAATAATTTTCATCATTTATTGATAAATTTCTACTGATCAAATAAAATCTACTATCCACCTTATTTGATTATACATTAAGTCTATCTGTCCAGTAGAGATGTCATGGCAGTACTGACATCGCCACCTTCATGATGCAGAAGATGTTTCAAAAATACTATCGCGATAGCGGTGAGACAGCTTCTTTTTTTATTGAAATTGTAAAATTTCATGAATTTTCATCTGATTTGAGTTTCTACAAGTTCAACAGATAGATGTGTGTCAAATCTGATGGATTCAATCTAACTGTACTAATTTAGCACAGTTAGATGGAAAAGATTTTCGAAGAATTTTCCGAAAACCAATGGGATAGCGGCAGATTTTCAACCGAGATGGATATCTATGCTATCCAATGTATAAGTGAAGAATTATGTCGTTGATTTGGTTTTCGTAATCAATTATGATTAGTTTCGATAAAAAAAATATCCTTTCATAATGATTAAATATTAAGTATTGAATGAATTAAAGGTGAATATTGTCTTTTGGTTGAAAAATTCTGGGATTGTAATTATTGAATTATTAATTTGAAAGAGAAAATTCTGCAAATTTTGATTGATTCGCGTACAGTTAGTAGTCAACCTAATGTAGCAAATAAATAAGTATCAATTTTGTATTATCTTATTAATGATATTGAATTAGTCATATTTATAGACAAGAGGAAATTGATTAATAGATATACAAAAATTTCAACAGTTTTAATATATCCGTTTATTTAAACAATCAATAAAATACAGAAAGTCATAAACAACATAGAATAAAAAAAAAAGATAAATGCTATTAGTAGGCAAAGTAAAAAATCAAAAAATAATATCTCGAAAATTCGTAAATATTCTTTCATTTATTTTCGTATTGTTTGATGAATTCTTTTTCATCGATAGGTTTTATTCCTTACAGAATTAACCATTCAGCTAAAGTTTCCAAAAAGTTTAATATAATATAGTCAGAAAGATTAATTTCCATATGATATTCAAGTTATTTTCTCTCGAAATACCATCTCTTTCTATTCGAAATAAATGCATATGCTTAACAATTAAATTCAATTGGTTTTCACAACATATATAAATCATAAGTCAGGTGTTTGCCAATATTACAACTGGCAATTGTATTGTACATTTTCGAGATTTAGCCTTTTTGATAATTTTTTTTTGTAACATTTGGTTCAATAAAAAGTTAAGATAAAAAAATAAGTACTTCTTTACAACTATAAGTATATAATACAATCAATGTTCTTCAATTACCAAGTTGTATTGTTCGATTTTAATAAAATATATAATGGTCAAAAAGTTATTTTCTCTGGAAGAAAAACTTGAATATCTCTGTCATACTTTGATCATATCAGCTGATTTTTTCATTGCTCATTAAAAGAAAAAGTATTTATAGCTTATATTCATGCGAAAAATGATGGAAAATATTATCCTTGAAGTATTACATTAGACATTCCATTTGACTAGTAGTAGTTTTAACAAATTTCGGAAAAAAAAACAATGCATTTATCCATAAATAAATATCACACAATATATTGAACTAATATTCTAGACAATTGTCGTTTGTTCCGAAATTTCTGTCACTGGTATATATCTTACTATTTAATACAATCTGAAAGTTTTAGTTACAAAATAACTGCAACTATTAAGTGAATTATTTACAAAACAATTATGTGTTTTGATACTCAATTGAAGGCTAGAGATTTAGACTGATGTCAAAAGTAATACTTCAAGAAGTTTTCTTATGAATATAAACTATGAAAACTATTTTATGAGTAGTGAAAATAATTTGTCCATTTCAACAAAATATAACGAAGATATCGAGATTTTTCTTCAAGGAAAATTAACTTTTGACCATTTTACATGATTTTTTTATTTTAATTAATGGTGAAATAAGTCTGAGTACTCTAATGAAAAATAAAAAGTTAGATAACAATGTAAATTTTCAATATCTTACCTCTGTTTTTTTCGGTTTTGGTTCATATGTATCTACTAAAAAACAATAAATTGATATGAAATTTTGAAGAAAAAATCTACCTGTTAAATCAACACTAGAAGAACTCCGTTTAGAAGCGTTTCTAAATTATATAGAAGAAAATAAATTTTCTTTGATACTTCAATTATTTCTTACCCAGGTGGTGGTTGAATAAAATCCGATAAAAAAAAATTATTCCAATCAAAACTATTAGCACGTTTGAGAACACCAAGTAAACGAACTGGTGGCATATGTGTTTTTGTTGTTTGTGTTTGATGAATAGCTGAACGTAAATGTTGAGTACTTGTTTCATCTAATTGATGAAGTTTTAGTTCATTTTTATTTTTCTCCCATTTAGTTAACATATATATTTCTAATCTAAATCAAAATTTATAAAAAAAAAACAAAAGAACAAATTTATTCAAAAATTTTTTTTTTTAAATTAAATTACTCAAATTCACCATCTTTCGTAAAAGTAATTTCATTTAAACTAAATTTAATTGGATTATTTGGTACTGCATTTGGTTTCAATTCATCTAATAATAAAAATTTTTTATCAGCATGTTCATACCAAATACAATAATTATCTTTTAATTCTTCATGTACACCATATATATATAGATCCGTATCAGGTTCATTTTGAAATTGTTGAAGACCCTTAAAAAGAAATGTTCAAATCGTAGAAAAGTGAAACAAACAAAAACAGAATGTAGAAAGTGTTGTCAAAGATGAGTCTGACGATTCTCTTGATAATAAAGATATTCAATAAGATTCTACTACTACTGCTACTTGAAATACTACATATTTTGTGTTGTTTCGCTTTATGAACTGACCTGTATGTAATCTGTATTTTGAAATGAAATTACATCAGGAAGATCTTTCATGACTGAATACAAACGTATTGATCTTTTTTTAATAAAATCGAAAGGAACAATGGTGATAGTCGGTCCACACTCTGAATGCGATCCTATTATGTTGTTCATAATATTTCTCTTAGCAAGCGAGAATAGAGTGTAAAAAAGAGTATCTTGAAAATATCTTTGATGCTAAATCAAGAATAAACTCATATTAATATTAAATCAATTGCTTGCATGTTGAAGATATTATTTGATTAAATATATGTACTTCCTGAGACATGTTTTTAAGAATTGAAGAATAGCAGAAAATTGAGATAACCAGCTCTCAAAATTCATTTCTTAAATAGCTAAAAACTCTATAAAATCGAAAATATCAAACCGTTCATTTGACATTGATTTTATACTTATGTCTTTGTGTAGAACTTTTTAGTTCATATCGCACTTAAAGGCATAACCAGACGAGGCCTAGAAGGGAACTCAGGTTTCTCTTCCTACCCACGTCAAGAAATACGGACCGAAAACGGCCCATATGATTCGTAAAAATGGTAGAAACTTGGAGGTAGTAATCCGATGATTGGATCCGATGCCAGCCGTGCCTGGTTACAGTTGATTACGATCGAAACTAGGAAAATCCTATTACTGAATTAATGCATCCAAATTTCTACCATTTTCTCGAGTTTTTCAGCCGAAAACGGCGTCTTTTCCGCGGGAAGCTACTGGAATCATAGACCTTGGCAAAAGGCTTTGAGTCCCTTCTGGGAACATCACCAAAGGGTCTCCATCCCTTCTGCAGATATGGTCAGAGAAACTGACGAAGAAACCTTTTCAGATGTCCCCCTCCAGTTTCAATAATTTCTTATCTATAGATACTATATACTATTCTAATAAGAACTCTGAAAGGATTTGGATTCCAATTGAGATTTGACTAAGCTGTCGAATTTTGATCTGAAACTTTGTGCATACAGAGAATTCAACACGACTATCTTCCATAAAAAATTCAAAAGTCTTGAGCAAAATCTCTTCGAGATATGAGACTCTGTTTAAAACTTCTGAATTTTTTTTATAGAAACTAGTCTAGTTGAGTTCTCTATATGGACAAAGTTTTAGATCAAAATTCGATAGCTTAGTCAAATCTTGCTACGAACCGAAATCCTTTCGGAATTTTTATTAGAACGCTATGTAGTATCTATAGGCAAAAAATCATTTGAAATCGGAAGGAAGGCATCTGAAGAGGTTCTTTCGTGAGTCCTTTTGCTGTATAACTTCTTTTCGGTTGCATCACTCAAGAAAAGTACCAGAGTAATTGTGTATACATTATTGATGATTGTAATTTCAATCATCTTGGAAAGTATAACAATTATTGTATCTTCCGCTTATTTAATAATGGTCACTCCAGATAATTTTTATTTCGTTTTTACATGTTATAATAAGACGTCGAGATTAATACATTTCATTCATGACTTAACTTGTAATCTAATCTCTAATGTTTACAAAAACAAAAATATTTATCTATTTACTTCATCATAAAACTTTCTATCCGATATATTTACTTTAATTTTTGGTAAAACCTGAAGTCTTTCATTTTCTTGTTTCTTGATACCTTGAACACAACTGATACCTTTTTTGGTATTATTAACAATACTTTTATCAATAGATTCTTGACCCAATGGAAATACATTAGTTAAATAATTATTTTTTTGATATGTTTTAACATCATGTGAAAAATGAGGTCTTGTTAATTGATTATTTTGTTCATTGCTAAGTGCAATTTGACAACTTTTATCATTTAAAATTTGAGCAGAATTTAAATAATCATATAATGGACTTCCTAAGATTTCTGTTGAAAAAATAAATACAATTAACAACGATATGTGGAATTATTATTTTTCGCAGAAAAAAAAGCTTACCTAGAAGAGTTTCTTCTGATAGATAATTATCATTATCATCTTGAAAATCACTTATAGCAATATTATTTTTTGATACATCTATAATACAATAAATTTTCATGTCCTTTTCACTATTTAATACAAGAATTAATAGTTACATACCTTCAAATTTATTTAGATCGAATTGATCTAATAATGCATCGTCTTTATCATTATCACAATGAAGGGCTAATATGTCACAGCTTGGATTTTCTGGAAAAAAAGGTACGCATGTTTTAATTTCGTGTTTTTTTTCATATTGTTTTAAAAATATTCTACATACCAATTGGTTCATTAACTTTAGAGTTCGAGTCTGAATCATCTACTATGAACAAAGCTACATCATCTGAGATGGCATCAATAATTTGATCATTCTGACGTAGATCCAATAGGAATGGATTGTATTCATATCTTAATACGTTTTCATCAAGAACAATAAATTTTTTTGCTTTCCAACTGTAAAATTCAATATGATACGTTGTTGGTAATTTTTCTTCCAACCACTCTTTTACATATTTTTGAATTTGACCAAAGTCTATGTACTTGTTGAATGGTATTCGAGGTGTCCTATACTCGCCAAACCTAATTGAAAAGTAATTATTTGATATTGTTGATAAAGACATTAAACTTTTTGTTATGATTCGAATTTAGAAAAAATGATCGTAACATATATAGTTGTATCATCACAATACCGTGAGTAGAAGAATTCCAACCGGTGAGTCATTGTTGAATATAAATTGACTATTCATTTTTTTTTATTTTTCACTAATGCTATCTATTTAGTTTTTCAATTGGTCAATGCATTTACTTCAATTAAAAAGACAATTTTTATAATTTCTATTCTGATATCTCTCTTAAAGTAATTTTTTAATCAATTTAATAATAGTGACATTGGAGATGAGTAAAAACGAAGATTAAAACAAATAATAGAAAGAGGTCGCTTGTATGGCTCAATGAATTCAAAATCAATAATCAAAACTTTTTTACTTATTTGCATGAATCCATATGAAAAGTAATTAAATAAACTTGACATATGAAATTATAATATTTTTTTTTTACTTTACATTTGTCGACAGAAAAATCTAATAATTTTATATAAAGATTTTCGTATTAAATTTACAATAGCTAACATATTCATTTGAGCAGAAAACAATTCTATTCTTTTTGCTATTTTAATTTAGATAATAATTATTTCAAGAATACAAAAGAATTTATTAGTTTTATTCTAACACTATATCTACAAGATGTTTTTCTTCATAATTTATGAGAAAAGATTCAACGTACAAATGTAATAAGTACCTAAAAGTTTGTAATGGATGGTGCAGATCATACGGGACAATATTATTTTTCTTTGGGCACTCAGATACACTTTCAGAGAGTCATTCGATAGAGAATTTTTCGCTGCATTTGTTTTTCAAGTAAGCGTTGTTCATTGGAGCAAAATTTAAAGTATTAATACTTACTCAATCGTTCGACTGCAACGCTCAAAAAACCATGCAGATTTTTTTTTAAAAACAGCTTTATGAAATGTCACAAAATTCTGCATCTTTTAATATGTTTTACAATTTTAGAAGAAATATTTGCGAAAATAATCATAAAGTAAAAACTGGAAAAACGCTTCACCTAACAGAATTACGTGTTTATTCGTTTTTATTTCAATACAATCGAATCGTTTGTACTCTTCAACTTAGCAATCACAATATTTTGTTGTTCAGAATTGAATACCACATCCAATATCATGAGAGTGACTGTTTCATACATCTCATGAACGATATCATCAAGAAACTTGAAAAAGATTATAGAAGTGGAGAGCACAAAATTCTCTGCTAAATTCATGCTAACTGTGTTACTTTTTGAATTGATCTTCATGAGTAAAGACTTACACAAATTGATAACAAGTGGGCCGAAAATTTTGAGACAAAATATTTGTGTATTTTTGATTTTCTTGAAAGTGTTTTTCCGAAGTCACAAGCTATGAATTAGCTTCAGCATATTGTGCACTTTTCAAATATGGACGTAGAAATTTTTGTCTCATTTATTGTTTGAGAATAGTAAGGTGATCTTTGAAAAACTCAAAAGATGAGTTTGGACGGAAAGGTTTTGGTGCAAATGGTTATTCATTTTGATCTGCTTGAAAGTATCTCAGACAGTCAAAAACTATGGATGATGATCAGAATTTTATGCTCTCTTTGAAAATGGGATTAGAAATATTATGTCTACTTTAGTTTGAGACTAGTAAAGGAATTTTTCAAATGCCTAAAAAAAATTAGATTCAATGATGAACGAATAGGCTTTTGCTAATTCCTATAGATTCCTGTTCGAAGATGTCAAAAAATGTTTGTCGAGTGCATATTTCTTTAAAAAAAATTTTGACATTGAACTAAGCAGTGGATTTTGCCTAAGTGAAACTACAAGCCCTTTGTCAAAATTTCCTTTTTATAGAAAAATGTCTTTTGGTCAAAAAATCGATTTTCCAAAAATGAGAATTTAAGAGAAACGAATATTGAAGTGACTTGTAGAAAACCTCAAATAGTGCATTTTGTAGAGTAGCTTTTGCTCTACAAGCTGGTATATTAATAAAAGTGTTAATATTTATATTTGAATTACAAAAATGAAAGTAGAAAAGTGTACGAAAAAATTTTCCATTCAAATTATTTTTTTTAGGTCTTTCAAACGATCATCTCATTGTTCTGAAGAAAATTTCTAAGTCTACATTCGGAAAGAGCATAAAATTCTAATCATAATCCATAGCTTTTGACTCGTCGAAAAGACTTTTAAGGTAGTCAAAAATAAACAAATATGTTGTCTCAAAACATTCAGTTCATCCATTGCAGAAAATCGAAAATCACAGTTAGATGATTGATCAGACATTCATAGTTTAAATTATTGCTCCAAGAAAAAAAATTTATTTGAAAAACAAACAAAACAGTTTGATAGAGCGAAAAATTCTCTATCGAATGTCTTTATAAAAGTGTATCGGAATGATTCAAAAAAGAGAATGATATTATCCAATTTAATCTGTGCTACTTGTTAGTAGTAGATATATTGTTCATACATTGTAATACACGTTAATATACAGGACGTCCCAAATGTCATGAACACTTAATAAATATAAATAACTTCGCGATTGATCAAGCTTAATAAAAATTCTTTTTTTCTATTTGACATAGGAGACTATGTAGTAAGTTTTTATTCGTAAAGATTAAATTTATCAACAATATAGAGAATCTAACAGTCCCAGCTATAATTTAAAAATTAGACTTTTTTCGATGCTACTAATAATGTGAACTGTTATTTTTTTTTAATATTTACTTGAATTTCTATTGTTATTATGGATTTCAGATCATGCAGTTCTTTAATTACTGCTTTTTAATCATTTATTTGATATATTTTAAAACGATCGTCGAATCTTTAATGCATTTCTTCGCCACAAGTCATTTCTGACTGTTCTAAAACTTTAATAACCTTGAAAACGAATGTCTTAGACTATTTATAAGTCATATTGACATTACAATTGACTCTCTTGCTTTCTTTTCGTAAGAATATATCAAAGAAAAATGTTTAGAATGTGATAGTAAAAGGTTTAAATGATCTGAAGTCCATAATAACTATAGAAATTCGAGTAGATCTCAAAAAGAAAATGGCACATATTGTTGGTAGTATCGAACTTGATCTTTACGAATTAAAACTTATTAATATCCTATTTCAAATAGAAAAAAATATTTTAATTAAGCTTGATCATTAACGTGACGATTTATATTTATTAGGTGGTTGTGACTTTTGGGGCATGGTATTTATAATTTACAACCATTCTAAAATTATCCTAAACGATCATTTCATATAATCACTAGAAATTATCAATCAAGTTCGTTTAACGTTAATAAATTACAAAAATAAAATAAAAATATTCTTGTCATAATTACTTGACGATGATTATCTAAAAGCAAACAATCATTCAGTCAAGGTCATGCCTAAACTCATTTCTATCTCAAAATCATGATAAAGAAAAGATTGAATAATTGAACTAGTTTTGTTTAGAAAAGATTTTTATTGACAAATATAAATCCTTATATCCAACTTAGAGTTGATACAGGTGAATAGAAATTCTATATTTAGATGATGAGATTCTAATGATGAATCATATACCACCTTAATTTTGACAAGCTACATATACCCGTCATCTATTTTGATAGGCAGAAAAACAACGTCCATTAGAGGAAGTTTATCTGATAGAGTGTCAATTATAACCTATTAAATGTAAAATAAATGTTCTCTTTTTTATCATACGAACAAATATCTGTTTTCTAAATTACCTAATATGTGGTTATAAAAAAATAACGTCATAATAAAAACTCATTTTTGATATTTTATTGATTAATTTAGATTAATTTCAAAAACATAAATCGAAAGAAAAATAAATCAATGATTATGTCAAAGAAATACATCGTTAAAAATCCAAAACAGATTATTTTCATTCATTGAAATTCGATTGCTATATTATCTTTTTTTTTGTTTTCGATAGTTCTTTGAATGCAAAAGCAATGACTTTTGTATTTGCTCCAACGAAACACGATGAAGTAATAGGTAGTTAATAATTAAAATCCCTTTATAATTTAACCACTCTTCTTTGTTAAGAAAAATATTCTTTTCTGTTAGAACAGATGATTAAAAGTGTCATTGATATAATTTAATTGTTCATACAAAAGTTTAAAAAAATTCATATCATCAATACAATGTTTCTATCCTGTATTAATTCATTTGTAAAGCAAACTATTTCGTACATGAAAGTTCAGCAAAAAAGTGCAGTTCTACTGTCGTAATTATTGATACTTTAATTATATGGTAGGTTACATCTAAATATTTCTATTAATAATTTTTTGTTATTATGGATAGCCTGGATCGTAGCTTCTCAAAAGAGATACTTTTTAATTAAACATTTCGCTATTTAAAGAAAGCTTTGGCTATTTAAAATTCTCAAAAGAGATACTTTTTAATGAAATGTTGCTATTTAAAGGAAACTTTGGCTATTTAAAAGCTTTGATACTGTGTTTCTCATAGTTAGCTAGCAATTTAAACAAAATAGCAGTGACACTGAATTATTTAAATAGCTGCGTGGCTCATTGTTTTGCGTTCTGGTTTTTTTGAATTCATCCTCACATCAACCAAGCAACCTCCCTGCTCGTGGTTTATTTTGTTTTTTTCGAAATAAAAGATATTAGATGATAAAAAGATAAAATAAAAAAAACGAATTCATCTTCACATCAACCAAACAATCCTCTGCTCGTGATTTATTTTATTTTTTTTTTTTGAAGTAAAAGATATCAGATGATAAAAAGATGAAATAAAAAAAAACAATCCATCCTGATATCAACCAAACGCAAACCCCTGATCGTAGTTTTTTTTTTCAAAGTAAAAGATATTAAATGATAGAAAGATTACATAAAAAAACCGAATTCATTCTCACTCAACCAAACAAATCTCTACTCATGGTTTATTTTGCTTTTTTTTTATTAAAGTAAAAGATATTATATGATAAAAAGATGAAATAAGGAAAAAAAGAATTCATCCTCATATCAACCAAACAAACCCTGTTCTGAAGAATCAGCAAGGTAGGATGAATATT